CTTTCTTTTGAATATTAAAGCATCAAGATAGCTTTAAAATTCATCGAGATATGAGCTATGAAAGTTAAGGCATTAAGATTTTTTTTAAATGTAGATTTGCTTGATTTCTATTGACGGCAACCCATATTATCTACTTCTGAAGAGGACTGCATAATAGACGCTTTTCGAGTGCTTAAGAGCATCGAAGGAATACTACTCAATTCTGAAACTTGCCGAGACCCAATAAACACAAGCAGGTTTGAGTCAAATTTTAATAATTTGTTTTAAGATCACATATTGCAAATGTATTTTTTTCCAAATAACGACCCCGATTATTGTATTTTCTGAATCATGTAAAACCTTAATACAAAAATAAAAGTCTACATGTTATAAAGGTTTTATGTGCCTATTTGCTGACTCATTACTAAAATATTTGGAAAGCAATTCTTAGAGTTACAAAGAATAAAAAAGTGAACCAGTTTATCATGACTTATTAAAGTATCGAATTTAAAACCAACTTACGTTGCTACGTATTAAATTTATCGATTATATAGTATCAAATTTAGAATCGATTTAAGTTGCTTTTAAATTCCGTTCCAACCTAAATGGAATCTAAATCTACAATTATTTCGTTCCGACGTACGACATATATATATCACGTGTGAAATTTACATGCAAAAATTACATGATATTTTTCGTAACACAACTCCACTCTATTAGCGATTAACGGTTTTCGTTTGATGTAATCTATTTCAACCAATCAGGAACAAGATTTCATTGCCAAGTTATCAATTAACTAAATTTGCGAATTTGTCCCATTTACTTGTATGTAGATAGATAGTTTGAACATGTCGAGCAGCAGTAACAATGATCAACAAAATTGGGCTGAGGGTAGTGGTAGCGTGTTACTAAGCGGCGTTAAAGAGAATAACTTTATTTCAGAGTTGGAGGCAGATTTCAGTAGGATCGAGACCGTATTTGACACTCTACTTGCGCAACCCTTGAGCGAGATTGCATCAAGATTTCCACCAACAGAGCGTGCAAGGCTATACTTATTATATGCATACTGTTGCAATAAACTTACTTCCTGTAAGTTTAGAACTTGATCGGACCCATTTTATTGGAAGTAGGGTAGTTACGATTAAAGTACTTATATGCGCACTACTAATAACTAATACGTCATTGATAGTATATTTGGAGGCCAATGGCGAGCCCGAGGCTAAAGAGGTCCTTGAACAGGAAGTGTGTAATATTTTTATAGTCGTGTTGATAGCGTGTTTGATAAAATTAACCATTCTGTGTCTTTTTGATATTAAAGAAACGTGTTCAAGAGAGTTATAATAGAGTTGAAAATACGATCAATCCACCACAACCTTCAATGATGATCGACCGTTCTGCTGCTGCGCGTTTCATTATGCATTCCTTACCAAAGGAACCAAAAGAACGTGAGACAAGAGAAGAAGTTCGCGGTACGTTTAAATCATTCCTTTGATCTTTCAATTTGATTTTGAAAATGTACTTCTTCGAACAAAAAAAATTTTTTTTCTTTATATGAACCAGTAACGAGTTCGACTCATACTCGATTTGATGACTATAGTGAAAGAAGGTTTAGTGGTGGTTCTTCACCTAATGACAAAAGAGCTAGTGGTTTTTATAGTAGCGGATCTTCACCTAGCGATAGGAGATCTAGTGGTGGCTTTTATAATACCAGTTCCCCATCTAGTGATAGAAGAAGCAGTAATAATTACAATATTGGATCTCCATATAGTGAGAGAGATTCTTTTCGTATAAGCACGTCATCTACGTCATCTCGTATAACACATTATGATAGAAGCGAATCATATATTCGTGATTACGATCGAGATTATGATCGGAATCATGACCGAGGTTATTATGATCGCGATTATAATCGCGACGACCGTGACCGCGATCGTGGAGACGAACGTAAAACCTTTTAACAATCTCTTATAATTTCCCCGAAACATCATATACATGATATATATATGATGTATGGATGGAAGGGTAACCCATTTTCTTTTTTATTAATATTAACATATTGTACATTTTATATATAATAGGTCCACGCAAGCAAAAAAAAAAGAATAGAGAAGAAGAAAGTAAAAGAAGATATTAATTAATACTTGTTTCTTGAAACAAGATGATCATTTCATAACGATAATAATCATGACACTGTCCGATGCGTAAGTTTTCCAATTTTGCAGAATTATCCGTTACACTATAAATTATCGCCATGAAATATATAAAAGAAAGTATATTAAAAAGAAAAAAAAGGGTATGATTTGATCTGTAATTACTTGCCTTTTTTGTATCATTTATAATGTGCCCGTGATAAAATTAGATAATCATTCTCATGATTATCTGCAAATTTGGTATCATTTAATAATTTGTGTTACATGATGTATGCTAATAAAAAATAACCTATTTTTCATGATTAACCTAAGAAACGATGATGACTTTCATTGACAATGATTCCGTGATAGAATATTATGGTTAATTGAATTAAACTGTGCTACATTATGTATGCTAATAAAAAATAAAATGTTTAAGAGTATGGCGTTCTTCGGGTCTTTTTATAGTCACTGGCATTATTTGCCTAATTACCTTAAACACATTCTCAAGAGTTATCTTTTTTTTCTATTATTTCTTTGACTCGTTTTATTTCAAATTCAAAGTTTTCAACTTTTTTCGATTCCAAAGAATCATTATACATAATTCATTAGTACCTTTTACGTTTCATTAAAATGATGTTTAAACACTCAGTTGCATATAGGCTTCGTATGCTTAGAAAAGAAAACCCATACAAACACGTGAATAAAATAGTAACGGGTTGTTTTCTTATCTCGGAATTAGCCTATCTTATTACAGGAATGATAATGATATCGTTTGGTTCTTCATTTCTTATGACATTTGGACGCAATATACGAAGTGTAGTCTTGTCAAAACCTTCACTTATAGGTATATGTTTAAATATTTGTACCAATTTAGTTTTATTTATTACCTAACAAAAAAATTTACTTCTTTTAGGTGGAATAACTATCGGAATTATAAGAATATTAATATTCTTTGTCGGTATTATTGGCTTCTTTGCACCTTTTAAACGCTGCCACAATTGGTTGATGGCGCAATCTATCTGTATAGTCATGACAACAATTGCTCTTTTGATTTTGGGTGCTATGATTTGGTTTAAAACTCTTAACGAAAGGAATTTCTTTAAAGATGTATGGATAGGATGGATGAACGGCACTAGAGCAAGATTTCAAGATCAGGTATGCATGCATTAAATCATATATGTCTGTTTTTCAGGTGACGTGCGCAACCTGTCTGAGATGACTCCCTGAGATAACTCATACAGGGAGATCCCCAAAATTCCTGGTCGGAATGCATCGGAACATTGGCCGGATAGTCCGGAATCGATCAATTTTGCCCAAGATCACTAATTTCATTAAGTAAAAAATGCCCAGCTGATAATTTTACTATAGCTCCTTCTAACCGGAATAGCTAACCCTAACCCTAACCACGACGCATTCCGATGCATTCCGACCAGGAATTTTAGGGATCCCCCTGTAAAAAATCCCTGAGATGGGAAAGTCTCCGGACACCTACCGATTTTGCACCTACCTAGTTAGCGTTAGGGTTAGAGTTTGTTATGATTGGTTGATTTATATTTGGTAGGTGCAAAAATCACGTGTTGGTAGGTGCCTGGAGACTCTCCCGTCTATCAAGGGTCGTAATAAAATTCCATTTTATTTAGTATCCAATCAAAATCCAATTTTTGAAATAATTTCAGATTTGATTGGCTATAATAATTTCATATAGAAGTGCGAAGATAATCTCGTGATTTAAGCACGTGCAAATATTCGTAAGATACTTTAAATGATTAAATCGCGGGTCAAATATATTATTGAATAACTAAATGAACCATGGATCAAAGAATGTCTGTAAACTCTAATTCAATTATTTTTTAAATAATTGATTGCCTTATTTACTCTCTTAAGTATTTGGAGGAAATCTCAGATTACCGATTGACATGTTACGCACGTCACCTGAAAATCAGCATCTGAGGTGCGTCAAGAGCAATTCGACGCAAGAATGTATCTGAGACAAACATACTTAGTTGTGTAAAAGCTTTTATTCTAACATTCTATGTATCTTTTTACGTAGTTTAACTGCTGTGGGTGGGAATATCCACTGTCCTATGGGGTTGTATCAAGAGGATGCCTAGATCTCCAACAGGTTAATACAACTATGTTTGGGGGTTGTGATAGTCTGATAATAGGAACAGGAGATAAAATCTCTCGTGAAGTATTCACCTTGTTATTCGGATTTATAGCAATAGATATAATTACATTCCTTACCATTAGTGTACTTATCCATGCAAGGAATATAGTGGAACGATTTCGTAAGATTGAAGAGAAAAATTTAATGTTGCTTTTATAATCTTTCATTCATCATGATTTACATGTCATTCGATAGATATTTCCTCATGAAAGCTTATAAAGCTTGATATAATATTTTAATAACAACACCCTAATAAATAATATAAAATCTATATGTGATGGAAAAAAATTCGATTATGTTACAATAAATTTTCCATCAAATAATCTTACTAATAATAAACACTCTAAAGACAGATATAAACATTTGCTAAAAAAATGATCATTCTTTCATGATATGATAAATGCTTATACACTCAATCCCCAAACATTGACGATAACATACATACTATTTGTGTCATGCCTGTATGTGGTGCTGCCTACATATCGATATATATATATTTATTAATCTGGTTTAATAATGCGTATTCTATTTACATCACTCACCATCATGTTTACTATCCCAATGACAAGTAGTGGTAGCATGTATACCCGCACCATTCTTTTCAAAAATAGTACAAGTCACTAAATGAAAAATAAGAGAAGTGTTAGTACGTATCTGATAAGCAAAATAATTTTATACAATCATTTAAAAAATGAAATTAGTTACCAATATACTTCATTGATTTATTTAAGGCTGCTAATTTTTTTACTGTTTCTCCCACAATAGTAGCATTCCAATTTGATATTCTACTATGAAGGTACGCGGAGTCTTGTAATATTGTAGATTCCACTGTCTATTTTTATTTTATAAAATGTTAATTATAAGCAAATAAAAGTAACCTATCAATGTCCTATCAATGTACTTTAATATTTATACAAACCTCTTTCACTATACTCTTGACCTCATCTTCGTTGAAAACTTTCTTTGGGGATGAAAACTACGAATTCAATCGCGTTAACATTATACTTAAAGCAATGAATGCAGCGAGCAATAAATTACAAAATGTCGATAATCTTGTATAAAAGCATAAATGACAAACCTCGCCACTAAACCTATTGGTTTCGTGAGTTAAATCGTCATACCTTGAAGGTGGTGGATCTTCCATCTTAGTTTTAATCGGTAACGGTAAAAGAACTGCAACCTATATTTATATGCCTCACATCATGTACGTACTTATGTACGCACGATTATCGATCCAGATTCGACCCGACGAATCGGATTATTTATGAGATTCATAAGGCGCCAGACCCCAATAAACAATAACGATAAGTAGAGTCAGATCATGTTTAATTCAGAAAATTTTGGTTAGGCAACCATTGTATTCGAAGTTTCGAAAAATTTTTAGGATCTAATAAAGATGCTGTAATTAAATTTTTTGAAACTTTGAGCAAATACCTCTCAGGACTCTCATGATATTTTTAAAGATCTGACACCCAAACCCGTTATTTCGAGATTTTACGGATAAATTTATATGAATTTTTTATTTTTTGGTCAAATAATATATATTATTGGCTGCTTCGCATCCAATAACTATATAATATACTCAGGGTTGGCACAGACCGGTCAATGGTCAAGCTTGACCAGACCAGTTTGACCAATTTGACCAGCTGGCCAAAGGGTTTAATATTGGTCAAATTGGTCAAAGGATATTTAAATATATAGTATACATATGAATATATATATATATATATTGTATACTAAATTTATTTAATTAATAGACTGGACCATTTGACCAATTTGACCAGACCATTTGACCAATTTGACCGGACCAGTTTGACCAATGAATTTTTGGTCGACCAGTAATTTGGCCAACCCTGAATATACTGTATAATTTTTCAAACTCCGGACCGGATCGAGTTATATTTTTCTGGTCAAGATTGACCTGGTCCTTGAGAAAAACTAACTTCAAATATACGTGTAAATGTTTGACATGTGCACTAGTAACGCTGACAGGTTGAATTAACTTACTATAGCTAACCTAGTTAATTTATACCGTATAAGCAGAGCTCGCAGGAAAATTCATGTTATTCTCATCCTTATCGACACCATTTTTACATTTGAAAATCATTCTAACTTACATCAAGTGCAAGTCTTGTTCGTGTAGACTTCTGTGTCGCAAAACTTACTCCTGCAACTACTTTTTTGATAGATTGTCACATGCAGCTCACAGTAAAAAGAATTTCCAAAATTTTGAACGAAGATATCTCGACAACAATCTAATCAAATTCGATATAGCTTTTTTTATTTGAATTCTAGGATTCGAATAAAAAAATTTGCATCGAATTTAGTCAGGTGGTTGTCAAGATATCTTCGCTCAGCAAACCGTCTATCAAAATAGAAGCTGCACCAAATTTTTTTTAAACCTTTGAGCGAAGATATCTCGACAACCATCTAATCAAATTCGATAAACCTTTTTTCTTTTTTATTTGAATTCTATAGATTTATAGAATTCGATAAAAAATTTAGTCAGGTGGTTGTCGAGATATCTTTGTTCAAAGTCAAAACGCCTATCAAATTCAGTAATTGAGGCAGATCCTCGATTTTGATTGGCTAACGGCCGAGGATCTTCAAAATTTTGGCCGCATTACATAATCAGCCGGAATTGGCTTTTTTTTATTACAAAAATAGAAATTTTTAAAAAATAAGCCCGCATTATGGCAAAATTGGCCCAGAAACAATTTTTACTTATAGTAAACTAGAATAGCAGCTTTGCTGCCCGATTTAAATAAAGATTTTTTTTTTTAAATTTTGATAATCTTATATATACAATTTATTAGATGTATATAAGTTTACAAAAACTAAATTATCTAATGTTTATAATTGACTAATATCTAGCTGCTTCGAAAGTGTCCAAGTATAGTTATCACATTGATATTTGCCAACAGAATCCACATATGCTGCTATATGTATTTAAAAATCTGCTATAGCATAGTACTTAGCTACCTATAGCTTTTCCCATCTA